CGCCTTTAGACATAGGGTAGATAATTTAATTTAATGTAACATTAATTATAATTGATAGTATAATTAAGTAATTTTAATACTAAAGAAAAAATGTAATTCGAATTGATGCTTAAAAAGTGTAATTCAGTTTCTATTTAAGACATAGGGTTGAATACACTTTCCTCTCATCAACCTTTGTTTCTTCTCTTTCATCTCGTAGTTTTTCTTTTCAAAAATGGTGCTCTTGGGTAAACTTATAACTGAACTTGGTATCAAAACAACGGCTAAAAAGTTCTACAAACTATTTCAATCAGAACTTCACGAAGTTCAAAACCATTGTGAAAGAATTCATCACACCAAGTTGCATGAAGGTGAAGACTGGCATGACACTGAAACAGTTAAACACTGGACATATGTCATAGGTAAAACTGTTTCTAATTCATTTAACATGTAAACCAGATCATCTTGTTTATATAGGTGTTGTTTTCTATAATTCTTATGTAGAATTTATTTTATTTTTCTTTGTATTAATAACCCTTGACTTGGCAACAGGTGATGAGGTACACACATGTTATGAGAGTATTGAAGAAGTTGATGAAGAAAAAAATAAAATAATATGGAAGCTGTTTGGTGGAGACATTGATAAGCACTATAAGGTGTTTAAGCTGATCCTTGAAGCAAGTGATAAGGCTGATGGTACCGCTGCAGTTAAATGGACAATTGAATATGAGAAAATCAATGAGGACATTGAGCCTCCAAATGGATGGATGGAGTACCTTGGCAAATGTACTAGAGACATTGATGTTAATCTTTCCAAAGCAAGGGCCACTCGAAAGGATTGAAGAAGTACAATGGCTTAGTGCAACCTTTTGGGGTTGGCTTAACTAAGTGGTCAACTTTATAATTAAATAAGTGTGATGTTTGAATAATGATGTTGTTGTGTATGCATGTTGGCTTATGTTGTTGTTTCCTTTGTATGTGTCTTGTGAAAACTGCCTCTTGAATTGTGTTATGCATATCAATAAAATATATATTATATATATATATATATGTGTGCTTTTTTAGCATCTAGTAGTATTTTGTTTATGCAATTTCTTTTACAGTTAACATTTTATTTGTACTCATGATCCCTTTATTATCACTTTTTTAATGACAAATAAATTATACTAGAAGCCTTAACATTCCTTTGAACTAGAATGGCTCATATTGAATCATTTAACGTCATTTGTGATAAAAGACATTAACGTTTTCACTGTTTCACTCAGTAGGTGTAATAGTAGGTAAAAAAAGATTAAATTTATGGCCAAGATGCGCCGATCTATCTTCAGTGAGGTAGTCATATTTCCCAAGAGACATTGGAAGAATAAATGGTGTCATTATCGTCCCATGGAGCAAATGTTACTTTAATTCTATAACGGATTTGAGTATTTATAAGTTAAAGAATCACTATAAAAAAATTTTTTATTTGAGACGTAAATTTCACGTCACAATTTAAAAAATTACGTCACAATAAATTATTTGTGACTTGCACGATCACGTGACAGGAAAGGAGGTGACAAATTGTTTGCGACGTGATTTCTCATTTTTACGTCATGAATTAGTAACGTGAAAATCACGTCGCTAAATAATTACATTTAATATCCATTCTTCAACATTTTTTTATATAAAAATTAGGTTGCGACGTGATTGTGACGTGAAAATCACGTCACTAATATATTTCTTTTTTTTTTTAATTAATAACTTAAATTTGTTTTTTTTTTATAACCATAAAAATTTTGTTTTTTTAACTAAACATATAATAACTAATATAACTAATATTTTTTATAAATAACTATTATATATATAATAAACATATCACATAACATATAATTATCATACTATGATTTTAAATTTATGTTTAAAAAATACTATTTCACACAATTTTATTTTTAAATTTTATAACTATATAATATTATAATTTTTATAACTAAATATTCTATCTTTGTTTTATTTTTCTTTTAATATATATATATATATATATATATATATATATATATATATATATATATATATATATATATATATATATATATATATATATATATATATATATATATATATATATATATATATATAATATAATAACTCAATAAAAATTTCAGAAAAAAATTAAACAATTAAAATACCTCTTCTTCAATCTTTGTTAATATTGTTCAATCTACTACCAATGAATCTCTTCAATATTGTTTAATCTTTAAACAAAAAAAACAAAATTTTAACCAAATCAGAATAATTATAAAGATTAAATATAATTATTAAATTAAATTGAAAAATATGAAGAAATAAAAAATTATACCTGATACAAAATTTTAAAATTGGAAGATTTATGGAGAGTAGGAGATGAATGAAGCATGACTTAGCAAGGGAAGAGAGAAATTGCAGAATCAAAACAATGGTGTTTTTGAAGAGTGGGATGCGCGCAAGTATATATGGACATCATCGACGTGAGTATCACGTTGCAACTTTGCCACGTGACATTCACGTGGCAACCCTCAACAGTCAATTAAATGATGCGCCAATTAGTGACGTGATTATTGATATACAAATAAATTATTGTTATATTTTTTCTTATTATTTATTTATTTGGCTTTCTCAATAATTTCATTTCGATACTGTATAAAGAGGCAAATTATTCCAAAAATGATGAGTTGTTGAACTACTGTTGATCAAGGTTGAGTTGAGGCAGTTGGGGTATGCTCAAATCAAGTGGCAACTAATCTTGTTGATATAACTTTGGCTTGTTTTGTTTGTTGTTCTTATTAATGTGAATCCTCCTTCTATTCATCCAATTTATATAATGGAAAATTTTTTCCGCCCTTATCACTTTCTCTCACATTCTTGAAATCCGAAAATGTCATCTATAATTTTTTTAAGATGTATCTTCCAACACTTTCTTCATAAATTAAGTAGTAAATTAATTTGGAAATAAATCTCTAAATTTTTTTAAAATAAATTCAAAAATTTATATTCGAAAATACTACTCAACCTATATACTATATATTTTTATTGAAATTAGTGTCGTTGTCGAGAATTTTTTGTCTATTTTAATTAATATTAGAGTCACATAAATTATATTTTCGCGTTTTGTCTCTTGCGTTTTTGAATTTCTAACTTTTACGCAATCTAACGTAAAAAATTCAATTTTCTAAAAAATCGACTTTGAATCAAAATGATACTGTGTCAATTCATCAGGAAAATTTTGTAAACACTTAATTTTGTTTTATTTTATTTTAAGTTGTATTTTTTATATTTTTATGATTTTATTTTAATTGTTTTTCTATTTTTCAATTTTTTTTCTCAACAGAGAAATTGTTGGTCTTTATATATTTGTTGCCTCGTTAATGCATGACTATTAGGTATATTTATCTGTCTATGTGAATATATTCAATATTAAATTAAGAAAAAGAACACAACATGACATTTTCGGATATACATATTTAAAATTATCATTTTCGTTAAAAATTGAGTGTTTTTGAATAAACATCTCTGAAATTAAATTTAATAAAATTCCTCTTTTTCACATTCAATTTTATAAAAAATTGATGCGTTTGAAAATATATCTCTAAATTCTAGATACATTTTTGAAATTTCACCGGTAGTCTAATAGAAGATGACATAGTAAAAAAAAAAGAAATTCCTTATATAAATTCATTCACATTCACATTAAAATAATGGACCAAAAGAAAATGGAAGAGAATTGAATAGAATAAAGTGGAACTAAATTGAATAGAGTATAATAGAGATTATATTGTTTGAATAAAATAATTATAAAATTTCATTTCATTACATACACTTTTAATATTTACTGTAATGAAAATGAAAAGATTAAATAAAATAAAATAGAATAATTTCTTTATAAAAATCAAACAACAAAATCTTAATTATATACCACTCTATTTTATTATATTCTATTAATTAGTTCATTATCTCTTGATTTCTTAACACTCATTTAATTAATATATAATAGAGATTCAACTTTTTTTATTAAAAATAAATTATATTCATTCGTTCAAATTGATATAATACATCGTTGTAATACAAATTTAAAATCGTCAAAAACAAAAAAGATGAATTTGTAAATAAACTCACGGCATCCATTTTAATAGCATAAAATAGCAAATTGCATAAACCTACAAATATTAATATTTTGAAATGTCTGAAATATCCATGCTCTCGAATTTGTAGTATTAATGACACTAAAGTCGTAGATTGGATTTGCACTAGATCGAAACTAATCTTTCAACTGGAAACAAATGAATATCACACAAAGACGAAAAAACAAAATATAACACACAAAGACGAGAAATCAAAATACACCACACAAAAATCAAAAATTAAAACAAACAACGACACACTAAAATGTCGAAATCACAACAACAAAAAACATTAAATATATGTGAAAATCACTTATTTAACTAATAGATAAAACAAAATTGATTTGAAAGAGTGATAGTAGATCAAAATCGATCTTAAATCACCCCATAAAGAAGAAAAGTGATGACGGCTAAGTTAGAGGAGGAAATTAAAAAGATTTATTTTAATTATATAATAGACTCGATAAAATGTACAAATAACAAATTTCTGAGGCAATTATATACAGCATTATTGCTCAAGATTAAAAGAGTAACCTTTACAAAATCATTACACAATTTTAGTTTGATGAATACTCTAATTTTACATATAACATTAAATTTGTGATCCTCAAATCTGCGAACTAAGAGTTGTTACTAAAATCTCAGAAAACAAATTTATAACAAAAATAAGTTCTGTTCACCTGAAAAATAAAATTACAAGTGTATTGCATAAAGAGTGTAGATATTGAAGGCTTACCGTCATTGACGAAAAAATTACCGTCATTGACAAAAATTAAAAACACTTTTATGGAAACAAGAATGGAAAACAACAACAAATTATAGAAAGTAAAATTAATATATTTCAAATTTTATAGACTAAACAAAGTTTGTTTTGTTGGATACAAGAGACTAACATAACTTACTTGCATGCTCTGGTACAAGGCCACAAGATAACAATCTTCCTATAAAAAAGATGTATTAAACAGTTCTAATTCAATGCATAGCTTGTGTGGTATAATTATTCCCTAAAAAAAGCTTCTATTGTTTAGTTAAAATAAATTTCTACTCCCAAAAATTGATGTACTTCCAATAATCTCGCATGCTTTCTGCTCACACTCGAGTTTTCCCCACCTTGCATCAACTCGTTCACAGGGAAATACTGGTTTGCCGATGCTGTCAAAAAACATTCAGTGTCATAGGAACAGAGTTTAAAAACAATATACACTAGTTTGATAGCTAAATTTGTAAGCCAGCTACTCAAGCATGTACAAGAAACAACAACATATGTAGGACCAACACTTTATATTCATATTAAAAGTGTGTTTGGTTTCTCTGAAATTTGATTATGCCTCCAAATCTCAGTTTTCCTAGAAGTGATCAAAATTATCTTTTGATCTAGATAGAAAAATCAACACTGATTATTTTATCAAACATAAATTTAAGATTACTTCACTTTAAACACAATTGTAACCAAATCAATTTTAAAAATTAATTCTATCCAAATCATATATGTTGTTAGGTGGAGAGTGGAGACCCATTTGAAAAGTGGGTTAGGTGGATAATGGAAACCCATGCATGATTTTATCTTTAACTTGTATAAAGTGCACATAAAATGGAAATTAAAGTTTAACCAAACCTATCAGTTTTAAAAATAAATATATTTAAAAGGCACAGGTGCATTTTTCTTAGGCATAAACATAACAACGACGTCTTTACCGGTAGCAGACTGTTGTCACTAGGAAACTTTTCATGGAATAAAAATTGGAACATTTGTCAAAGATTTCACCTTTCGTAAAAGATGTTTCTCTATATTAGAGAAAATGATACCACAGGTTTTAAAAGAGCTTGCCTATTAATATCATGCTAAATGTGGCCGACAAAATCCAAAGAACAAAAATAGTTTGCGATATACGTCAAAAGATAACAGCAATTATACTTACCTTCTATTGACAACATTATGCACATGACATAGCCACTGAGAAAATTCAGCATGTGACCCTGACTGTACAGGATTTGATCTGCCAAACATATCAAGAAGCAATCAAGTAAGAGCTCGTGCATATTAGAAATTTTAGATTAGCATACATAGCAGTGAAATAAGCAAACCCCACCGAGTGAAAATAGATTTGGTTATTTCTTCTGGTTCTATTTAAAAGAAAATTTATTTTTTATATTCACTGAGAGTACATTGTATTTTCAACGAATCTAAAAAGTAAGTTTTTTTCTTTTAAATAGAACCAAACAGAGTACTAGTGTAACAATGTAGTGCAACATGTGAAAACTGCAGCATGTGTCTCTGAATCATGCTACTATATCAAAGATCCCTAAGAGCTACTATATTGGAGTGTGAAGACAATTAACGTCACACCCTACTGAGTTAATAGGTTGAAGTTAAAGTAACTCGAAAAATACTAATGAAACAGTAGTTTCCTTAATTTTTGTGAATAGAATTCAGATGAACAAAGTAATGTTGGTCAATTTCTGTTGTAAATAAGGAGGCATTGATTTGCGGATGCTAATCGGAAATGCTCTCTACATCTACCTCACTTGTATATTTCCGAATATATCTTGTTTGACTACAAAAATGTAGGAGACTGAATTGTACTTTTGGAAATTTATAGGAAAGCAATGAGTAGATAAGATCAATTTTATAGGGAATACTTGATTTTATTCTTATGAAGCACAGACAAGAAATCTAAATTTGTTATTGAGAAGTAAACTGATATCTAAAAGATAAATCAGAATCACACATGTTAACACCCACGAGTAACTGCTGTAAATTAGTCAAATTTCATGAATATTGAATAATATCCACCACTATTTTACAAAGTTGATCCAACTGATCATAAGCAATGCTACAAAACTCCTGTCATGACAATGTCTAGGGAAGGGTCAGACCAGACCCACTGTGGGTCTATTGTAGGCAACCTTATCTTCTATTTGCAAGAGATTGATTTTACAATTTAAATCTGTGATCTTCTAGTCACATAGAAGCAACTTCCATTATTGTTGTTTTTTAAACAAGAAATGGCATGCAAAGACATTGCTGAATTCTAACTATGTCGACGTGTTAGATCCTATCAATTATAATATACCAAAACTTTACATTAAAAAATAGAAAAAGAATACAAAACATGGGGGACATATACCAAACCCGTGACAAAAAAAGGAAGAATCATTTTCAATTTATAATTGGAAAGACTTGTCATATTGCGGTAAAGGCTTCACCAATGAAACTAGCAATTAAATCCTACCCCAACCACTGCATCATACTAAAATAAAATTTACAAAAAGCGATAGTCTGATCGTCTGAACAAGAATGAGAATTTATATGGATAAAAAGAAGTGGAGCAAAACCAAAACAAAAAATCCTAATTAATTAAACGGTGAAAAATTAGTATACCTAAGAACTTCTTTAAAGTGATCTGCACATTCACTGCAAGGATACATTCGAGACAAGATCTGTACCTGCGGTGTGAATACAGTCTGTTACAACAAGTATTTTATTTTCCAAGAGGATAACAAAATGCATATACTACTACCATACAACAATAACAACAACTGTGCCTTATCCCACTAAGTGGGGTCGGCTACATGACTCAACTTTCGCTATAATGTTCTAATCATGCTTCTATCCAAATCGACATACTGAACCATACAGGGGAAATTTTCAACAAAGTAAATTATATCTTATAAACTCGTCCATTGTACGAAACTGCTACATCAGACGTGTAAAACATGACTCAATGCTATCTGTATTTTGTACCATTTATATTATTGTTTACAGCTATTTGACTATATGAACTAAAAGTTTGATTAATGGACAGGTAAAAAACAAGAAGAAAATTTGAAATTTTCTCTCAACTTTTTATAAGTATAGTATTAAATCTGTCAGTATGATAAATCATATACCAGTATCCTAGTTTCGTAAGACAATATCACGGCATTGATTTAACTGAAAGGGTTTTCTCCTATAAATTATAAATGAGACCATGGTGTTATCGATTCTTTATATTATTGTTTACAGCTCAGTGTTGTCGATGGAGGATGGCAGAGAGCCAAAATCCCGCCATATCGGCCGCTTTGCGGCACCGTTATGGTGGATTATGGTAGAAAAACCCGCAATATCGGATGTAGAGCTGTTCATGTTACCGTTCTGTCAGAAAACCGAACTGGATCAAACCATATTAAAAGGTCATTCGAACTGAATCGAACCGTTTTAATTTATCCATAAACCGAACCGAATCAAAGTTATTGGTTTGGCATACCAATTCGGAATTCTAAACCGTACCAAACCATTAGAAGACATTTTTTCCTAAACCAAACTATTTGTTAAAGAACCGAACCGTTATACAATTTTTTTATTTTTTTTTTAATAAAGAATTTTAAACTTTGTTTAGTATTTTTCATTTTTAGTTTCGCTTCGGTTTGGTTTCAGTTTCGGTTCGGTTCATTTCTCATTTGGTTCGGTTAACTGTTTGTGCAACATGGTTCAATTCAATAACCAAACACAACAGATCGGTTATTTTAACTTCAGCTCGGTTGGTTCGGTAGTTTTTTGAACAGTTCTATTCGGACGATATTTACCATTGCGGCAAGCTCAAAAACTGCCATGTATATCTTCCATAGCGGCCATGGCGCCGCTATTTGATAATTAGTAATACTGTTACAGCTCTTTGTATTTGACTAAATAAAGCAAAAGTTTAATTAAAGGACATGTAAAACAAGAAAAAATAATTTGTAATATTGTCAACATGATAAATCATATATCAGTATCATAGTTTCGTAAGATAATAACACAACATTAATTTAATTGAAAGGGTTTTCTGCTATCAGTTATAATACTAAATAAAACCTTGGTATTATATAACTTCTGACTATATGAAATTCTATAATTTATTACTAGGAAATAGTAGGGAAAGAAAATACCAGTTCTTTTACATCCTTCTTCTGTTGTCTTGTAGGATTGTCTGGATACTGAAAATAGAAACTAGGTTGTTCAGAACTGTGTATTTAAAATGTCAAATCTTTCAATTTGTTGTTTCAGTTGTGTGATAGAACTTCAAAATCAAACCCGATAATATATAACCCCATAAACAAGAAAAATATTAACTATATTTTCCCTTCAGAACAACCTCGGGTACAAAATTGGAGGGAAAAAATTATTATGTGCGTCATAAAATAGTAAATCAAATTTGTGGATGAAATTAACATGACGTAATGATTTGGGAAGTTGAGAGTCCGCCTATCTATGAAGCACAGACTACACCAGGACATGACACAGACACTCCGACAACAATAATGTCAAAGACATAGGACATCGATACGGGTACATATATGATAGTATTTGACCTTTATTTATCTAACTATTATTAAAAGAGTTTAAAATATTCTAATCAAAATTAATGTCTATAATTCTTCATGATAATATTGCTTTAATACACATTTAATCCTTTTAGATGTGTGTGAGATTTGCAAAAAAAATGTAAAGGTGTGTTGAAGCAAATAAAAAAACAAAACATTTTTAACATTTATCTGAATTGGTCAGACACGTGTTGTATAAATGTCATACATGTCGATTCAAAATGTTGAAGCAAAGAAAAAAAATCATTTTTGAAACACTTATCCAACACGTGTCATACAAGTGTCATACATGTGTCAAACACCGACAAGTGTTGAGCACCGAGATACGCCTACTCCTAGAGGTAATTGTGCTTGATAGGAGCCAGCAACTAAGAAAAACTAGTATAATCCATTAGCATGTGGAAATGAAGGAAACAAAAATTTGAAGATATTGAAAAACTTGGTAACAGGATGGTAGAACACCATGATAACGAGAAATAGCTCCTGATAGAATTTTTCTAATGTAGGGTTATATGATCAATTGCTACACAACAATCACTCAATAGTGATTAACACATGAAAATGTATCACAAATACAAAGTTAAATTTGTTGAAAGAACATCTCGATCCCATCTAAAGCAGTTAAGAGGCAATAACATCATCGAAAACGGGAGAAAATGGTCACTACTCACTAATATATCTGCCCACCTACTTCTCAGATAAAGTAATCGCAAAACAAGGTGATTGAAAAGAAAGGGGGAACCAATAGAATCACTATCAGGACAGTTGCAACGACAAAAGTCACAAAACCTGAGCAGCAAGAGTGTGAAGAAAAGTCCATGTAGCCCTTCCAAGCTCTTCTTTAGTCACAGGGGCAGAGGACTTACCCTACAAAAAATAAAATGATGAAAAATAAACTAATCAAAATAATTCCATCTGTATAAATATATACCACCCATCTGAATCATTGATTAATAAATTACTTGACACTATATATATTCAAGAAAGTATTGCAAGAACTGCGTCTTAGCAAAACAAACTAGTGAATATTCCCCCAAAAGCCATGTTGATTGTGTATGATACTATTTGAAATGTTGCCCTGCCTAATTACTGAAAAGGATACAATGAGATCGAACACACAATTAACATATTAACCCTTATATGCTAAACTCCAATCATCATTCTTGATCTACTCTATTTCAATCTTTCATTTGACTTCTCCTACAGGAAGGCTTTGAATTTTAGTTAAATATTATTTATTCTTCTTGAATACTATTCCTTAAATTAAGACAATCCTAGAGTTGTTTGTTATCAGTTTCAACCAGTGTTGTTAAATATCCGGTATACCGCCGGTATACCGGTATTGCGTATCGGAATTTTGGCTATCTGATACGAAAGCCGGTATAACATTTCAATTTAGCGATGCTTGCGATATTAGCGATTTTCTGATATTTTTATTATTATTTTTATTATTATTTTTTAATAATAAATCATTTTTAAAAACATTCAAGTGGGTAAGGTGAAGAGGTGGAAAAGTGATAGAAACCAACTGATATATAAAAGAAAATAGGAAAAATCCCTTTGAATTACAAAACAGTACCGCAGAACTTCGAGGGTCTACACCTCCCAATGCCAAAATGGCCCCTTTTCCTATCCAATTCCAACATAATCATCTACACATTGTCTTCCCCTATTTATTCTAGACTTAAACCCTCTGAATTAATAATATAATAATTATAGTAATTACCCACTAACCCTCCTAATAATTTAATAATTGTTACAAAACTGAAGAGTCTAACACTACTCCCTCCTTAAAGATTCACCTTGTCCTCAAGGTGAAAGCAATACACAATATTGAAACATAAAGGTTGAGTTGTAAATGAAATAGGAAATTTTTTTCCAGGATCAAATTTGCTTGCTAATGGCAGTCCTCTCGTGACCACTTGTTGTGGCCATAGTGGCACCAGTAGTGGAAATTTCTTATTCCTAGACTCTATCTTAGGAATAGTAGCAAACACCAACAATAGCGAGTCTTTTGCCTGTGATGAAATAGTCAACTCTCCGTCACTTCTCTAGACTTTTGCTTCACTGGCAGCCATCAATGAATCTTTACTTTTTACTTCATCGCCCTCGCAATCAGATTTGATATCCACTTTGCAAACTTCGTTTTCAAAGTATTGTTGGATTTGTGAGTCTTCAACTTTACCACCAATCTTTTCTTCAATTGGAGATGCTATTGGTTCTTGAATTTCATCGCTGCCTTGAATTTCTTGTGGTTTGTTTTCTGACTCCGGTAGACAATCCCAAACTTCTGGTTGGAATTTCTTTGAGAATGGCCTTTGCAAATTTCCACCAACAAGTATTTGGATGACTCTTCTTCCAAGAAATCCACCAATCAAGTGCATCTCCTCTCAATGCAAATGCAACAGCCCACTCAAGCTTCATCTCTTCACTCATTCTTGACCCAAAATATTGCTCAACTTGGATAAGCCACCAATAGGCCTTCCTTCCATCAAATTTTGGAATCAAATCCGCAGCCATATTCATGCCAAAATTTCCAGCACACCGATCAGAATTGCTCAGATACCAGTTGATAGAAACCAACTGATATATAACAGAAAAAAGGAAAAATCCCTTTGAATTACAAAACAGTACCGCATAACTTCGAGGGTCTGCACCTCCCAATGCCAAAATGGCCTCTTTTCCTATCCAATTTCAAGATAATCATCTACCCATTGTCTTCCCCTATTTATTCTAGACTTAAACCCTCTGAATTAATAATATAATAATTATAGTAATTACCCACTAACCCTCCTAATAATTTAATAACTGTTACAAAACTGAAGAGTCTAACAAAAAGTAGAAACATTAAAGAGGGTAAGGTGAAGAGATGGAAAAATAGAATCTAAAGAGGTGAAAACATTGAAATAAGAAAATGTGGGCTACTGAGTCGGTACATTCTTCCTCTTCTTTCATACTGAGTCGGTTCCTGGCATTATATATACCTACCTGCTCAAGATATACTAGGCAAACAACTAAAAAGAGAAAAGAAACTCCCAACCTTAATGTTGTTGGCACTGCATCTAAAACAAAGAAGAAGTCGGCTGGTTCTTCATCTAGGAAGGGAAAGCAACAAGTGATTGAAGTGGAAGATCCTGTCATCGAAGAATCAGAAGCAGAATTTGAGGATATTGATTCAAATGATTCAATTGAAGAAGCAGAAGGATATGCCTCACTGTCTGAAAAGGAGAATAATGATTATGTTGGGAAAGGAGGAAAGGAGAATAGTTAAATCTTTTATCATTAGTTAACTTAGAAGAACTACTAGTTATTAGTTTGAACTATTTAACTATTTGAGTTTTAATTCCTTTTAAATTTCTATTTGTAGCTTTTCTGTATTAGTTATTGGATTTGAAATTTTCAATTTAAGTTTTTAACTTTTTGAGTTTTTATTTCTATTTTAACCGCTTTGTGGCTTCCGATATTTGTCCGTTACGCGATCCGATATTTCTCATATCGGTTTTTTGGTGATCCGATATTTTCCGATATCGATATTTGACAACACTGGTTTCAACACTTTATATAACCATATAAACCTAAATATGTCCTTCTCTTTCTTGATTTCGTTAAAATTCATGATTAACGAAATCTCGTAGATGATAATGAATTGCAACATCTGATGTATCAAATTGTTTTCGAATTTAGGCATCCCAAGCTGATGATGTTCAAATAACATATTTGTTTTAAAAATACTATTCAATACATGGGATATGCTAGCTAGTGATGATGATAACGGCATCTTATAGTTCATAAGCCCAAAGAACGAATGACAAACCACAATCACTATCACTAGATTCACGATAAAAGTCTTGAAAAATTAAGATTGCAAGTCATTGATGATGGATACCTTGACAACAGGATCACGGGGTTGTAGTGGGACTTTGATGGAGGCATTGACAGAGCCTCTGCCAGAGGCTCCTGGTATCTGGATATGATGGCCTATAAAATTAGATACGTGATGTTGAAGGAAATTTGCGACTTTCTCAAAGTTATAAAATAAGGCCTGTACTGGATTCTCAGACATGTTACCTGAGATTCAAGTTGGGGATAAAAATATCACAGTCAGCAAACCTCATGAAACAATTGAATCAAAATAGAATATATGATTCTTACAGAAACAAATAACTACGATTTGACCGCGCCGAATAACTTCAATTATATACAGCTCTAGGTTTACAAGAATAGATTGCTCACACTGAATCAAGAAAGAGAAACAAAATTTCACAACCCTAAATTGCTATAGCAGCTACCATTATGGCATCTACTATACAAGAAATTGCATTGTATCACAAAAACAATAGCAATTAGTTCGAATTCCACAACCTATAGTACACTATTGATCGCTATTTTGACAACATTGATAGTTATGACAAAAGGACAGTTACAAAATTGCATCGTCGCGCATATGGAAGATTACACATGAATTAAACAGAGAAAAAGATGGAAGAGCTTCTTACTGTTACCGTTGGATTTCGAGCCGACGAATACAAACTTGGGGTGCGTTTTCTGGAAGTTGAGTTCAGTGCAACTCAAACTTATCTCTGATAAATGGGCAACGCGCGATTGTCTTCTTTTTTTGGTTCGAATAGCGGGAATGTCTTTCAGCAGGGGTGGGTTTCTTCAAAACGAAAGTTGAATTATTTTGACTATTATCAGAATTCGATTCCGGATAAAAACCGGGTTTAGTCCGTGAACCGTTTCTTTGAATCATAAAATTATATTAGTTGATTCATTATGTGAATCACAATTAATTGATTAAATAAAAAAATTTCAAAACTAAGAATATAATTTTGAAAGTTATTTTTAGATTTTAAAGTTTATTTCATAAATTAATTTTTAAATAATGTTTTGAAACGGAAAAATATTAATCTTATTTTTAAAAAATTGTTTTAAATATAAAAATGAATAAAAATTGATGGCATTATTTTTAAAATTGAAAAAATGAAACATATTTTTAGAAATTTAAATGTAAAATATACATTTATTTTAATTTATATGTAGTACAAAATATTGAATTTTTTTTTTTGCAATAATCAACTTTTGAAAAAAACTCACAAATAACCATGTTTCGGAGAAAATTACGCAAATAACCATGCTTCAGAAAATATCACAAAGGAGAAGTCAACCCAGTTGGCGTCTGCACTAGCCTATTTGCCATAGGCGCCATCTCACTTGGCGCATGCTCTCTCTTTTAGCTAAGTGAGATGACGCATGCACTCTAAAAGTGAGAGGATGCGCCATCTCACTTGGTGCCTAGGGCAAAATGCATTTTTTTATAAATAAGTCATTCGTTTATCCGTCATTCTTCACACTTTCTCGCACTGTCTTCTTATTTTTTCTCTGTTATTTGCGGCATGACATCTCCCATGATTTTTACCAGAGATGGTTATGTTATTTTTTCGGCCACCAAACCTTCGATGAAAAAGAAATTTTGGCACATTCACTCCATGAAGCATCAGAAGAGAGAGAGTTGATGTGATGGCTAGAGGGAGACATAGAGGATGGGGAACAAATTAGAAGGATCCAGCGAAGAAGATCATCCACCTCACTTGCAACAGGAAGATCTAATTTTTGGTTGGAGGAAGTCAAAATAGAAGGAGATGTAATGTTGATGATGCATGGGTCAGATGAAATTGTTTTAACGGTTGTAATTTCTTAGACGTTTTATCGTGTTTTTATTTATTGTTTGTGCAAGGTTTGTTGTAACAAATGCTCTTAATGAAAAACCGTAATGTTAAGAACTTAAAAAAGTAAAGATGTTTTGCATACAATTTTTATGTGGTTGAGCTAGTAGCCTGGGTCGAACAATTTTTGCGATTGTGTCTGATCTGACGACATAAATCACACTTTCTTTTTAGCTTGTCAAGTGAGTCCATTTCAGTTGTGATGTGCTTGATTTTGGGATGACCCTTTTTATTCATTCGCATTTGGTCGTTGTGCCATACTATTTCGCCGTCGTATGCAGGCTAATAATCAGGTTTTGCTACCAATGGGAAGTTGTTGTTGTATATGTTGAGCAAGACTTCAGACTTGTAAATGGGAGATAGAAGTTGTAATGCGTCTTGATGAGTATAGGCACATGTCGCTATGACATGAGAGGAAGGCATACAAAAGGATTGAAAGTTTCCACAATCTCACCAACGAGAAGGTAGTATACCTTATACTCTTGTCTTGGCAGCCCCTCGTTATGGTCGATTGTCTCTTTGACAATGAAGTTGTGGCCGTATCGGTCTAACCGTATAACCAGATGGGTGTTAGCTTTGGCACTTTCTGCCTTAATATACTTCATGCAGCTTTCACTCCATAGTTGTCCCGATTGCAAGACAGCATTCCATATTTCACCTCTTTTGGCAAACAACGAAACCATCCTAAAATATGTTGATTTAACCAAAGCAGTTACTGGGAGGTTTTGTATGCCTTTTGTTGTACCCCAAAATTTTCTCTTTCATTTTATTCAAAACATACTCATTAAAGTCCTCAACTTGTCCAAGGAGGCCCAAGGATTGATCAGACAAATGCTCTCCTAAGACAATGAACCTCAAACTAGGGTTTCCATTTACATCAAGATGGGTGAACTCCAAAGGTCTCAAATCTTCTCCATAGTCTTAGTATGGTCTCAAGATAATCCATGTCAAGATTCATGCCTTGCACAAGAAGTTTGCTTAGTCAACTGTTCAAATGCCTGAAAATCAATTGTACTAGGTCAAAAGTCAATTGTGGCCCACATGCAGTCAAACTTCAAGATTTTTGGTCAACATCAACATTTTGAAGTTATATCCATCATTTGATCAAGGGTTGATCATGATTCCTCAAGGAATGCTCCTAATTCATCAAAACTTAAAAGTTGCTAAATTAGGGTTTCTATAGGAAAAAGTCAACCAAACTTTGACCAGGAATAACTTTCTCATATTTTATCCAAAAAAATTCCACTAAGTCTCATTTTGAATAGAATCCAATTCCCTACAACTCATCTTCAGCCCTCAAGTTCAAGAAATGCACTCATGGAAAGATATGAATTCATACATTATAAGTCATTTCAAAACGTCAACAAAAACACCTTTTGGGTCAAAGCTCATTAGATGAACATGGAAGATCAACTTGAGATGAAACCAAAGAGTTTGCTTAGGGGACATCCTAAGCTTTCTAAAAAGTCCAAGAATACCCTCTTACGGTCAAAATTGAGAGAGATATGCATTGTCAAAGTTGGACATTTTTGGAGAATTGTTAAAAGTCAACAATGCCCAAAATTGTATTTTTTGGCAAATGGACCTAACTTTTTGTGCTTACACCTCACTTCCAACATGACCCACGACCTTTGAGTCCTTTTTACATTATTTTATTATTTATATTATTTATTTTTGATATTTTATTAAATAGAATGCAAAATTAAATAAGGTGAATAAAAAGAATAATGTAGGATTTGATTTCAAATCTTTTTCTCATCAAAATAAAGAGCAAGATGTGTTGGCATGGCAAGGAAAATTCGTGGAGGGAGCAAGAATAGATTTGATCCAAAAATAGACAAAAATCAAATATTTGAAAGGAGAATATTTTATCATCAAAGCATGAGATTTCTTCCATTTATGTTGACCTAATATGCTACCATACATAAGCAAAATGATCTCATACCTAAAAGAGAACGAGAGGCTATCTCAAAAGAAAAGAGCAAGTTTGCAAAAAGATCAAAAAATTAGTGTAAACAAAAACGCACGTTTCAGCCATTCTCAATCAGAAGTAAGCACTCTATCATCCTCCTAAGACTCCCAGGAAGACGAACCAACCTTCACCCACGCCTGAAACACCCTGAAGTGGCCAAACTGAATCTCAATTTTCTTGGTAAGACTTGGATCTCAAACTCTCATAATAAGCCATATCAATTTTTTTTTGAGGTTATATTTGTGTTGCTAATTATCTTTGCCAGCTTTTTGACGTATTACATGGGGCAATAGGGCATGGCTTTACACTTTGCCATGTTTGACCGTCGTTAGGGTTCCAAACGAAAACTCAATGATGCGCGAGGAATTAACATTTTTAGAGGCCAGATTCGAACTCAGGGGACCTTTTTAAGATAGATAACATTGTTTGTTTTTCCATTTGTTTGAATTTTCAGGCGACCTCACTGAAGAAGACGGTGGAAACCACTGTCTCCGGTGGTTAGACTGGTTGGTCGTCAGTCAACGAGATGGCGTGGCGAAAAGGCAACGTCTCATTGGTTCTTTTCAAATAAGTCTTTATCTCTCTTTGTCTGATTGGCCAATTTGAATAACAGGGGGCCCACTTGTTGGCGCGCGTTTGACAACTCAGCAGTTGTCCTTGCTTCCCATTATATTTAATTACTGTTATTATTGTTTACTCTGAAAAATGGTAAACAACCGCTGATCTTCCAAAAGGTTACTTATTTGGTGACTAGCAGGATCGATCAGATTGATCCTAAGACATGGTTGATTTTTTGGAGTTTGACTAATCCTAATGGTGATTAATGCCAGTAAAGTAAAGACACTTTAAGTAAATTGCATGAAGAAAAGCTTGATAGAATAAATAAAAGCGTTAAGTAAAAGGCTTCGACGGAGATAAGTAAATGAAAAGCGATAAATTGCTTGAATATAAAAGACTTGATTAATTTAAATGGTGTTTCACACATACATTCTCAATGATTCTTTCTCTCACGCTGGGTACTTGAATCTAAATGAGTGACTTGTATAAAATGATGAACACACGCGAAAACTACGTGAACACTTAGTATTTATACTAAAACAAATCCTAAGTAACCGCTGGGCAGTTACACTGCTTCGAGATGACGCCACATGGCACGCTCACAGCCTTCGACGCTTCTGTTCTCGACACGTTGCACTTGGTAACTGCTGGGAACCGTTTTCCCTCCAACAATTCAAATCTCAAATCGTTCGACCTTGGGCATCAGGGACCCTTGTCGAGAAGTTCCTTCGACGTCGAAGACAACAAGATTCTATCTTAAAGGAATTTCTCTAAGTATCTTGTCATTCTTGGATGAGCCTTCGACATGATCAGTTGGTCGAAGCCTTCTTATGTAGGAAACTCTTCTGACTCAAAATTAATGGTCTATATGATAATAAACATGGGTGTCGAATTTAGGAGCCAACAAATTACCCCCCAAGAATGTCTTATTTCGACACTTAAAAGAAAAAGGCATTCTTTGATATTCCATTCGACACCTGTCCTTTATTCTCAGCCACAAATTAGTTTGTGTGCTTTTCGTCTCCTACCAACCAACTGAAAATCTCAAAAAGCCATCATTTCAACTTTTCCCAAGACGTCACTTCAGTAAGGTATTTAGCACGCACGATGTCCATTCAAATGTTGTCATCATGACTATTTCCCGAAATCGAGGACGCATGCTGCAGCGTTTTCGTTCTTCAGAACGGTTACATCACCAGATGAGTGCCACGTGCCCCACTCTTGTCTGAGACATTAAATGACCTCGAGTCTTGTGATTTTTCAATCACTATAAATAGCACTAAGTGCCTCTTGTTGGACTCTTTACACTTTCTTTCATCCAACCTTCAGTCGAACAAAATTTTCCGCAAGCAAACCTTTGCTTCTTCCTCTCCAAACCCATAAATCTTTGTTCTTCATCC